AGAAAACCGGAAGTGGCGCTGTAGCTCAAGTGGTAGAACGCTCACCTTGAGCTGAAGAGCTGAGGGACAGCGCCCAGGCCCAGAGTTCAAGCCCCATGACCGACAAAAAAAAAAAAAAAAAAGAGTCTCATAGATGTTCCTGCCTGGGCTGGCAGGATCTCAGCTTCCTAAGTAGCTAGGATTACAGGTGTGAGCCATCGGCACCCAGCATAATTTATGATTCTTAACTAGCCACTTGGATGATGTTCCATCATACAGAAGGGGCTTGCAGATCCCATTTTCTTCTGGGTTGGCCACATGATGGTCTGGAGTTTGAGATCTATTCAGTGCTCCTGGCGACTGGCTATACAGCCGCTCCCTGTTCTTGGGAGATGATACTCAGATGTTCCAGAATGGAAATGGGCCCTAGAGGGGCCTTACTTGACAGGGAGGAAGCAGGTAGGGCAAGAGCTGCCTGACTGCTGGGGAACCATACTGCAGCTGGCACTTAGGCTCATGGGTATTCACGGAACCATTCAGCTTTGGCCTGTGCTTTTGCTTTTCTTTTCCTTCAGAACTCCCCCCATGGAGATGCAGCCCCCTGTCTCCCCTCAGCAGTCTGAGTGCAACCCTGTTGGTGCTCTGCAGGTGTGTCTCCTGTCCTCATTTCCTGTGTGCTCCTGTCTTCCTGAACCAGGGCCATAGGGAAAGGTGTGTGTGTTGGGAGGGAGCAGCTACTTGTGCTGAGCCCTTTTGCACATCCTCTCATCCTTTCGCTCACCTACAGTCTGAGGCTCGTGGTGCCATTGTGGCTCCGAGGAGCCTCTTTTCACTCAGCCTTGTGCTCCGTGTCTCTCTTCTAAGGAACTGGTGGTGCAGAAAGGCTGGCGGTTGCCAGAATATACAGTGACCCAGGAATCTGGGCCAGCCCACCGCAAAGAGTTCACCATGACCTGCCGAGTGGAGCGTTTCATTGAGATTGGTAACTGGGCAGAAGGGGGTTCCCAAAGCTCCTGATCCAGCAGTGTAGAACTCCAACCTGGGACATGAGGCGCTGCTCTGTACTGGCTTTCCTTGCTCTGCATCCCCTTGTGTAGCTTTTGCCTCACAGCTTCTTCCTAGCACCCTAGGTCTCCCCTTTTACCTGGCCTGCCAGGTCCTCAGGTGCCCAGGCAGGTCCTCAGCTCCACTTTCCTGCAGGGGAGCCCTTACTTCAAGTAGAACCTGGGAGGAACGTGCTGGCCGGTTGGGAATTAGAATCCAGCTCTCCTCTTTCCACGTGCAGGCAGTGGCACTTCCAAAAAGCTGGCAAAGCGGAACGCAGCTGCTAAAATGCTGCTTCGTGTGCACACAGTGCCGCTGGATGCCCGGGATGGCAACGAGGCGGAGCCTGACGATGACCACTTCTCCATTGTAAGTGGCTGGTGCGGGTGGCATGGTAGGGCACCGGGGCACTGTGATTTAGGAATAAGCCTCTGTGTGTCCTGGGCCTGCTTCTGCCTATTTTTCTACCAGACCTAGGGCTCCCTGGGCCCCTCACACCCTCCCCAGCCTTGACTGTGTGCCCACTGGTGAGGGCTCAGGGAGCGCTGACCTGACGCAGGAGCCCTGCGTGCTTCTGTTTCTGGGGTAAGGAAGGCTGCCTGGCCATGGCTCTAGGGTATAGATGTTTAGTTAGAATCTAGACCGGCAGTCACCAGGGCTTAAGCGGGTGGAGGGTGAGGGTGTGGTGGGAAGGCCAGCTGGAAGCAGTATTCTCGGAGCTTGGGCCTTTCTCTCCTTGAACATCGACTGCTGAACTGCCCCACCGCTCCTGGCAGTACCGTTCTTACTCTTTTCATCTTGACAGGGTATGAGCTCCCGCCTGGATGGACTTCGGAACCGGGGCCCAGGTTGCACCTGGGATTCTTTGCGAAATTCAGTGGGAGAGAAGATCCTGTCCCTTCGCAGCTGCTCCCTGGGGTCCCTAGATGCCCTGGGGTCTGCCTGCTGCGGCGTCCTCAGTGAGCTCTCCGAGGAGCAAGCCTTCCATGTCAGCTACCTGGATATTGGTATGGCCAGTCAGGAAGCTGGGAGATGGGGGGGACTGGAGCAGGAGCAAGTAGAAGGGGTGAGCAGGGGATGGTATGGACATCTACCCTGTGTGGTACAGCCTTCCTCCAACACTGCCTCCCCTCTCTTTTGGTCCCCAGAGGAACTAAGCCTGAGTGGGCTCTGCCAGTGCCTAGTGGAGCTGTCCACCCAGCCAGCCACCGTGTGTCATGGCTCTGCAAGCACCAGGGAGGCAGCCCGCGGCGAGGCTGCTTGCCGTGCCCTGCAGTACCTCAGGATCATGGTGGGCAGCAAGTAGAGCCCCAGCTGGACTCACGGATGTGCATCCTTTGCTCTCTGCCCTTCCTGCCTCTGGGCCCTTGCATCTGCCCATCTGGAACCTTCTGGAGGTGCCATCTCTACCTCTGACACAGACTGCCTGCTCTGAGGCTGAGGAAAGCACAGGGCTAGGAGCCAGGACCATAGGGTCTTAGCTGGCTCAAGATCTGTCCTCATTCTGGGAGGATGAGTGGGGAGGAAATGGGGCTCTACTAGAGTCCAGAATAAACAATGCTGCACCTTGGTTTTGTAAACTCTTTCTGTGGCCCTGAGTTGTGTGGGTGGCAGGGGTTAGCGCTATGTTTCCTTCCATCTTTCCACTATATTCCTTGTACACGTTTAGATCTTTTTTATGACCCCCCCCCCCATCCCAGTGTTCTTTTTGCTGCAGACAGATCAGGCTCTCCCTGGGAGAGTCTGAAAGCTGTACTGCTGGAGTTGGGCTTGGAGGAGGCAATAGCAGTTGCTGCCCTGGGCTCCCTCCCAGGGCTTTGAAGTTTCATTTCAACACAGATCCAGAAGCCAGACCATTTTATTTGGGGGAGACACTTGGTCCTGTGGGGTATGGACCTTGCATGCAGACACAACAAGGGATGATGCTGTTACTTCTTCCCAAAGCGCTGAGGGGTAACCAGGCTCCAGAACTCTCCAGCCCGGGGACTCAGCCTCTCATTGCTCCAGGGCCCCTGGGCGTTTCTGCCAAACCTGAGGAGAGATTCATCCTCAGACAGGGTCCCTGTGGACTCCTTTCCCAAGTGCCCTTTCCTGCCTCCTCTGCCCCTGCCCTTCCCAGGCCCTGCCATGCTTGTTCCCTCACACTCACCTTTGGGGCTGAAACAGGAAGGCTGGACTCCGGCCAGATCTCTCCATGGCTTGAAGTAGGGAGCGTAAGAGGGACGCAGAGGTCTGGGCATGTTGCTGTGGGTGGGGTCCATTGTCTTCCTATGGCAAGAGATTGGCAGTGAGGGAAGGTGGACAATGAGTCACAGGAGAAAGGAATGGCTTCCAGGGGCTGAGTGAGACCTTAGGAAACAGAGCATCTAACCCTAGAGCACCAGTCCCAACTGAGGTACAGGAAAATGGTGATGCACGGACAAGGCATTTACTCACCATGAAGCCCTGGGCTTCTTGGTCCTGGCTTTCTGGTCCTGCAGTGTGGCCCCAGTCCAGTAATGGCAATAGCAGCAGCAGCAGCACAGCCACCCGCCTGGAATCCATGCTGCCACCCACCTCCCTCCAGCCACACCAGCCTCTTATACCTGCTGTCCCCCTGATTCTCCCCCCACCCCCTGCCTGAGGGAGAATCTAGACAGGCAATGGAAATACATGGCTCCATTAAGAGCCGCCTGGGATCCCCTCCCATGGCCCCCTTGGGACTTCCTGCTCTCAGCCTCCCACCCCATCCTGAAGCCTGGAGTTATAGACTTTATTAGATGCATAAATCCTGTCTCCAGAGCTCAAGCAGCATCATTAATTGCAGATGCTTTGTCAGAGCCAGGCCCTAGAGGGCCTTACAAGAACCCCCAATCCCTCAACAGGTCGGAGAGCTTCAATCGATCACCCCTTGTTCCTAATGTGCAGACTAAAGCATGGAGAAACTCCTGTCTGGGAGTTAGGGAAGGACAGAGAGCAGGCCTGATACCCTGTTTTCTCCCCTTCTTGGGGTCAGCAGTCAGGTCCATAGTACAGTTGCACCCGGCCTTTGAACCTCTAGGAAAGCTGCCCATGGGCTGTGGGTAGACAAGAGATACAGAAGGAGGCAGAAGGGTTTTGGAGTCTACAGTAGCTTCAAATCTTTGTGGGCAGGCCCCATCTTCACTAGAGAGCATGGGGGAGCTGTCCTCCACAGCTGGAGCTCTGCTGCCACCCTGTGGCCACTATTCCTCACTGCCAGGCCCAGCCGTTCCATTTTTCTAGAACAGCATCTTTTTAAGGAGAAAATGGGAAGAATGATGCTAGACTCCCTTAGGTAAGCATAGCCTCGGCCTGGCTCTGACATTCTGGAGTAGGAAAAGTCAGAGTCGCTGCTTGACAGGGAAGGGCCCTTCAAAGTCATCGGGTGATGCCTGAAAATCCTGGAATACCTCCTGGCCCACTGGTGCCAATTGGGTCTCTGGCCTATGCTGAAAGTGGGGGAGGGACACCATGGCAGAGGGCCTCAATTTCAGCTGTGAGCAAGCTATCTACCCCTCTCCACCTCAGTTTCCTCACCTAAAGCATTAAGAGGAACTACTTTGAGGGTGAGCACTATCTGAGATACTTCTGTAGCTTGAGATGAAATCTCCTGAGACTGTGTGTGTGTGTGTTTGTGTGTGTGTGCACACGCGCGCGCTAGTCTTGGGGCTTGAATTCTGAGATTTTTTTTTGCTCAAGGTTAGTGCTCTAACACTTGAGCCACAGCTCTACTTCTGGGTTTTTGGTGGATAACTGGATATGAGTCTTAGGGATTTTCTTGCCTGAGATGGCTTTGAACATGATCTTCAAATCTTAGCCTCTTGAGTAGCTAGGATTATGGGTAGGAGCCACCAACACCTGGCTCATCAGTATATCCTGCGGTTTACTTCTTAAAAAAGGGAACACTGAGCCCATGAGTAGCTGATGGTTCTTGTATGTTGCTGTGACAGAGGAACAGGGTGGGACATTGCACATGGTAACTTTTTTGTTTGTTTTTGGTTGTGGGGCTTGAACTCTGGGCCTGAGAGCTGTCCCTCAACAATTTCGCTCAAGGGTACCACTCTTACCACTTGAGCCAGAGCACCACTTCCCTGGAAATGGTGATTAACTGGAGATAAGAGTCCCATGGACTTTCCTGCTTGGGCTGGCTTTGGAACTGCAATCCTCAGATCTCAGCATCCTGAGTAGCTAGGATTACAGGTGTGAGCCACCAGCGCCTGGCCACATCATCAACTCTTTTACTTCATTGTGGGACTTACCTGAACTGCAGTTCATCATCAATAAAATGAAGCATGTTCAAGACCCTGGATTCATTCTCCAGCACTACAACGAACAAAAAAAAGCCAAAACCAACTCCTCTGGTTATCAGAGGCTGTTGTGAACAGTAAACGGGCTGCAGGAGAGACATTCAGTGAGTACCTTGCAGAGAGCAGCCACTCTGTTCAGCACCTTGCTGCCTCCCCTCCTAATACTGAGTACCAATGAACAGGTTTGGGCTGAGACTGCATTCAGAAAGAGGCTGGTGTAACTGGCATCCTCTGTTTAGGAGAGGTGAATATTAAAAATGGGTTAACCCTACCAACCTGCAGTTTCACCTTCACCATACCCACCCAAAAGATCTGCCTTAGCTGGGCACCGGTGGCTCACAACCATAATCCTAGCTACTCAGGAGGCTGAGATCTGAGGATCATGGTTTGAAGCCAGCCTGGGGAGGAAAATCCTTGAGACTCTTACCTCCAGTTAACCACCAAAGAGCTGAAGTACAGCTGTGGCTCAAGTGGTAGAGAGCTAGACTTGAATAAAAAAGCTCAAGGACAGTGCTCAAGCTCCAAGTTCAAGGGCCATGACTAGCATTTGTACACGCATGTGCAGGCACGCACGGACACACACACACACATACATACATTTTGGTATTTGGCTTCCAACAACTTCCTTTCTCACCCTTCCCTGGAGTCCATGTGCTTCCTGACCACAGCATGAGGCTCCTGCTCCCCTAGGCCCTAAGGAGGCTCTGGTGCCCTATTGCTACCAGTTGTCTACCAAACAACAGCTACAAATAGCTTCTTGCATGTCTTTTGTCCCATAGGGAAACATCAGGGAACTCAAGTTTTCCCATCTGGCTCTCTATTCTCACTTGTAAAAACTGTAAAGGAAACACACAGATACAAGGAACTCTTACCTACGCCACTTCCCTGACCTTGAGTCTTGGAACATGACCTGTTTTCTTGTGGAAAAAAAAAATTTTTTTTTGGGGGGGGTCAGTGGTGGAGCTTGAACTCTGGGCCTGGGCGCTGTCCCTCAGCTCTTCAGCTGAAGGTGAGTGCTCTACCGCTGGAGCCACAGCACCACTTGGAGATAAGAGTCTCATGAACTTTCCTGCCCAGGTTGGCTTTGAACCGTGATCCTCAGATGTCAGCCTCCTGAGTAGCTAGGATTACAGGCATGAGCCATCGGCACCCAGCTTTCTTGTGCATTCTTACCTGCAAAAGGACCCACCACCTCCTCCCATGAAAGCTTCACTCCCTAGCCACACTGGAAGCTTGTTGTGGGTAGGAATGTTGCTTTCTCAGGAGGAGGAGGAAGAGGAGATGAGATGCTGGAAGAGGGCACGTACCCTCACACTCTGTCTCCCATGTGCATAAAGCACATGTGAAGTTCTCTAGAGTGTTCCCAGGACACCATGGGCCCTTGTCTCCAAGACGGTTCTCAGCTCGGTGCTGCAGGCCTTCTGTCTGTCTGTGTAATTTGCATTATTCATCTGCCTTCTGGAGGCTGTGTCTTCCCTGTACAAACAAATAGGGATGACAACCCCTGTTCCTTCTGTCCGAAGACGTGGGAGAGAGGAAGGCCACAAATGTAAAGGCCCAGAGAGGGCCAAGAGTGGCCAGTGGGAACTGGTCAGAGTAGTGAAGCGCACCAGACACACCAGGGGTTCTCTTGATGGTTTAATGTTATAACTGCAGCATAAATAAGGCACAATATATGTTGGGGGGGAGGGGTAATTGCTAGGTGGCAAGGGGGAAGGAAGGAGGGACAGTTAGGGAGAAGAGCACGAAGCCCCTGCCTCAGCCCTGCCCCGGGAGATTGTGAGAGCCTGCTCACAGGGGTCATGCTGAATCAGGTGAGGGAAGGGGAAAGACTGCTTTGTAACAAAATAGCCCGTAGCACTGCATCCTCCCACCTCTCAGGGCCCACCACTGGAGCCTGGGGAGCCCAGGCCAAGTTGAGTTCCTTGATATGGAGAGGTATTGCTACATGTCAAAAATATATAGATGAACAGAGATATAATCATAGATATACACTGCTTCCTTCTCCATAGGTTCTACACCAGGATGCACAGCCTCCTCTGTTGGAGGTGGGTGGGGCCCATCCCCTCCATACCCGCGAGAGGTGTGTGTGTGTGTGTGTGTGTGTGTGTGTGCGTGTGTGTGTGTGTGGTGTGTGTGTGTAACGGGGTGTAGTTCTGCTGGTCCTCAACATAAGCAAGAACTCAGAGGGAAACAGGGACAACTCCTGCCCGGACTGATGCAAGGGCAGGTTTTAGAGATAAGACAAGGAAGACAAACCTAGAATTTGAGCTGGAGGGGGGGGGGTGGATGTGGTGGTGGTGGGGTGGTTTTGATGAGTGGAATGAGGGACTGAAGGAGATGGAAAAAAATGTGCTAGTGCCAAGGTAGAGGGGGTTATTTAAATAATCCCCCATGCCCTGTAGGAAGCTCCCAGTTTGTCCCCAGGTAATGGTTCCCAAACATGAGTGTGCAACAGAAGTGCCTGGAGTGCTTGTCACCACCCTCCCCCCTGCCCCCCCCCCCCGGGTTTCTGACCTAGCGGGTCTGACACAGGCTGAAATGCTCCATCCGGGAGATGGTGATGCTGCTGCCAGTGGTCCTGGACCCTACTGTGAGAACCACTGCCCTAAGGTCACGTCAAGGGAACTAGAGTGCTCACAGCCACAGATAGTAGCCATGGTGCTCACCAGGAGTTGTAGCGAGACACTTGCACTGCTAGCCCCCCATTGAAAGATAAACCCTGGTAGCTACAATACAAACCTGCATCTACAAAGGACATAAGCTGCCTTAATCTACTCCCCTGGCCCTCTCCTGGTGCCAGGGGTGGTGGTGGGGTTGCTGGCCAGCAGCTAACTAGGCTCACCTGGGGAGGTGGGGATTTATTGTCTATGCACATGCATAGATGCTAAATAGAAACAGGAATCAGTTCTGTGCTAGGAGACAGATGACAGGGGAGGCTGAGGTGGGGTTAGGGGGTGGTTCTCTAAATCTGCATTAGGATCCTCACCTCTCCTGTTCCTCTAACCTCCCACCCTGGTCAGACACAACTCTAAAAGCAAGCAGCAAGAGCATTCAACAAAGACATATGTGATAGGCAGCCAGAAGGTCTGCAATCTAAACTGACTGATTATGAAATTTGCTTTTTAAAAAAGAAATAATATGGGCTGGGAAGGTGGCTCAGTGGTTGAGCCTTGCATGCATGAGGCCCTGGGTTCGATTCCTCAGCACCACATAAGCAGAAAAAAAAAGCCGGAAGTGGCGATGTGGCTCAAGTGGTAGAGTGCTAGCCTTGAGCTGAAGAGCTGAGGGACAGAGCCCAGGCCCAGAGTTCAGGCCCCACGACCGGAACCCCCCCCCAAAAAAAAATAACGTATTTCTTTTGTGTTTATAGAACATATAATGTTACTGGAAGATGATGTGGGGATGAAAGAGCTCATGAGAGGGGGGTCGGGGGGGGCTGTGTTAGGGGCTAGCACCTTTAAGGAGCCTCTCAGTGTGGAGCAGTAGAGCCTCAGAAACCAGAGGAAGGCTTTTTGGTATCTGTTCGGTGGTTTAGGCTGTAGATGATACATGGTTACGGTGAAGCACTCCATCCCCTAGGATGGTGGTGCTGGGGGGAAGGTCCCTGAGGAGATGGAGAAGCAAACGGAGAAAGGAGTCAAGAGCTAGACAACAGGATAGGAAGGAAAGCAGCAAGGCCAATATATGATCTGGAGCTTAGGGCCAAGAAGGCAGGCAGATTGGGTTTTCCAATCAACAGGAAAGAAGTAAAGGAGCTACGCTCTCTCCAGTTCTCCCTAGCCCTGTGGAAGGCTCTCTCAGCCTTTGAAACCCTGAGCAAGCTTTCTTTCAGGGGTATGGGGCAGTAAGAGGGCAGAACAGGAAGTCTGAGTCCTGAGTTCACTCTCAGCTCTTTTCTGTAGGGTCCTCCCTCCTTTAGGCCCTAGAAAAAGGTCAAGGTCCTCAAGAGGAGCTCATACCCTCCATGGTAACTGGTTCTGGAAGACAAAGATCAGGGGAAAGCGACAGGTGGCTGGGCACCATAGTAAGGTACATGACAGTTCCTTGACTGTAAGTGAAGCTTCAAGACAAGCATTGACTCTGCCTTCTTAGTGAGACTAACGACCAACTAAAGAGCTGTTTGGAGTCTGTCCTGCTTCTTCCAAATTTCGGTCACTCTAATTAATACAATAATTCTGCCAATGCCCTACATTTAGGTGACCAATAGTCATCTCCTGCTGATGAAAACAAAAGACCCAAGAGAATTAGACATGGGAGCTAAGAAAATAAAACAAGTCCATCAACATAAAGTAGCCAGCCAGCAAGGGTCAGCCTGGAAGGGCATGTACACAGAGACAAACTGACTCATAACTTTAAGATCATTTGCCTAATGGGGGAAGACAAATAGTCAAGGGTCTTATGGAGGCTCCTTAGGAGCCATAAACTCAGTCATGCTTTAGGGCAAGGCTGCTAATGGGAAATTAAGACAATAAAAAATGAAACAAGACTCAAAAGCAGAGGAAAAAAAAAAAAAGGATCCCAGGGAGCAGCCATCTAAGAAGAAATCCTGAGCACAAGTTATGGCTGTGAATTTTTAAAGGCAAGTGAAGTCCCCAGAGGAGGCGACATGCATTCTGACCATCTGCCATGACATTTGCTAGTCTGATCACCTCCGGGGCTGTTCCTGTTGGGTCTCTGGTGGTAGAAGATGAGAAAACCAGGTTTTGTCTCCTATGTCGTCACCAGGTATGGCTTGTTCAGCACTGACTCTGAAGAGCAGGAGAGGGAATTGAAAACAAATGCGGCAGAACACATCACTGGATTGGTTAACCAATGTACCACTCTGAGGAGATGGGAATCTTGTAGCTCAGGATGTTTTCTCATTCTTGTATGACAGCCAATTTTGGAAGACAAAATAAGAAAGGAAGCTGGCAGTTATTTTGTATGTGTGTTAAGGATGGAGGAGGAGAGATGGAGAAAGGACATTCTTGGTTTGGGCAGATGGCAGAAGATGGCTCTGGGACAATTGGAAGGGCTATTAAAGCTGACCTATCTATCCACAGGCCTCTGGCTTTGGATCATTTCCTATGGCCATAGTAGAAATTGCATAGTTCAGAGCCAAAGGAAGATGAGAAGTCTTAATGAGGGGGAAAAAGGAACTAGAGGGATGGATTTTTCTTCCTGAAACTCAGCTTTTCAAATAGCCGAGAGACAGAGTCAATAATCTCCCATGTAGGCTAGACCCGGCCTCTTAGCTGAAATTACGGTTACTTTCTTCCCCTCTCCTTCCTCCAAACAATCTTATACGAAAGAAAGAAAAGCCAGTCAGGGTCCTGGCCATGGAGTGTCAGAATTCTGGAACTTGCACCATGGAGAAACATGGGGGAAACAAGGGCGGGAAGAGTGAAGAAATGTGTTCAACAAACTTGAAGGACCTAGGAGCTAGGTGGGAGCTTGGTGGGAGAAAGGGAAGGAAGTCCACAGGGCACTGGTGAGTACAGCTCAGGCCGGGCACTGTTAGCTCATGCCTGGAATCCTAGCTACTCAGGAGGCTGAGATCTAAGGATCCTGGCTCAGAGCCAGCCCAGGCAGCAAACTCCATAAGTAGAGCTGTGGCTCAAGTGGTAGAGTGCTAGTCTTGAGCAAAAAAGCTCCGGGACAGTACGTAGGCCCCCAGTTCAAGCCCTAGGACCAGCACCAAGAAAACAAAAACAGCTCAGAAGACAGATGTGTAAGGTTGTGAGGTGGAGGAACAGCAAGGGGATGCCAGAGTCTCCTATATAACAGCCTCCACAAAGCTGATCAAAACTAGCATGGCAGAAGGCCAGAGTCGGTAATATGGACTGGGGGACAAAGAGAGAGAGAGGCAGGAGCAGAAAGATGACCAAAGGATGACAATATGTACACTTTGGCCAGTAAACTCTTGTAAAACATAGTTCATTCAGTAACCTGATAGAACAAGCTTTATAAATAATATTGTTCCTGTCTGCCCTGATGATTAGAATGCAGGAGGAGGGAGGGAGAGAGAAGGAAGCCCAGTCAGATCCCAGACTCTTTCCACTCCTCTTTCCACTGCCAGGCAATATCTAACAATAAGGCCACAAGATTTGGTTGCCAAGGCTTAATAGGATGTGGGGAAAAGATTCCACTGCTAGACTAGGAAAGTCAAAAGACAAGACAAAATGAGATACCCAAATAGTTCTGGAAATAGATGAAAAAAGACTGGAACTCTTGGGGGTTTCTTCTCAATCAATCAATTAATCAATCTCTTCTTTTTGCTCTATTTTTGCTGGTAGGTAGGGAGAAGGAATAAAGCACATGGAATAGTAGAATACCGCTACTTCATACATCAAAGTAACCTCACACTCTCCATAAGTGAATGTTTTAACTAGAATTTAAGGAAAGGAAAAGGGATAAATAAGCAGCTATTGGGAGTCAAAGTCCTGAGTCCATAGGGTGGCTGGGGATGGGACAGCAGGTGATATGCCATCAAATCTAGCTTCCCTCTATCTAGCAGGAAGTGGCGTGCTGGTAGAACAGGGTAACAAGCCACAGCTTAGTGGAGAAGAGAGGAAACTGAGAAGCCCCAAACCTAGAAGTGCAAGGGTTAGTGTTAAGAGAGACAGGTATGCATGCATGGGGCAGAGGAGATTGCTCGGACCATCTGGAAAGGCCTTTGGCTGTAGGTACATCAGAAACCCCACTCTTGGGGGATGATCTATGTGGCTCTGGGGCTGGGTTGCCCCTAGTACAGGTGTCAAACATACACGACCATGTGGCTAAAGAGGAAAGTCTCACATCATCGTCCATACTCACAACACACAACCCTCCCGCACTGCCACGTCCCAGGCTGATGGGAGCGGATAAGATTATCTCTCTTGGCTCTTGGGCGGGTGAGCTCTGGCTTGAGACCTCTCCACCAGGGGAGGCATCATCTTCCTGCAGACTGTGACTGTGGGGTCATGATCACATGCGACTGTATGGGCATGCTCAGTTCTGTCCTTTGGCTGGCCATCTGAGTGAGGACCGAGGTGGCCACAGCTTCAGCTGCAGAGCGAACACTGAGGCCGTTGCTAGGGGCTGTTGCTGAGCTGTGCTGAATCACGGGGGCTGGAGACCCTGTTGGTTCTGAGCTTTCCTTGGGGCTTTCTGCCAGGAAGGAGGGTAAACAGCAGAGAGAGAGAAGGAGGTTAGGAAACAGGCAGGATTACATTTTCTTTTCTTTTTTTTTTTTGGTCACGGGGCTTGAACTCTGGGCCTGGGAGCTGTCCCTCAGCTCTTCAGCTCAAGGCAAGAGCTCTACCACTTGAGCCACAGAGCTACTTCCAGTTTTCTGGTGGTTAATTGGAGGTAAGAGTCTCACAGATTTTCCTGCTTGGGCTGGCTTTGAATCATGATCCTCAGATCTCAGCCTCCTGAGTAGCTAGGATTATAGGTACGAGCCACTGGTGCCATTTTATTATTTACTATCATCTAACATACCATATATTTTACCTATTCACTTGTTTCTCTCTCTCTCTCTCTCTGGAGATTGAACTTGGTGCCTCTACCACAAGTCCTTAGCCCACTCTTACATTCTGTCTCACCTGCCAAAATATAAGCTCCTTAATCTATTTGATTCCCTATGAAGATTCCAAGTGCGGCTAGGAATGTGGCTTAGTGGCAGAGTACTTCCTACTAGCATGCATGAAGTTTTAGGTTCAATTCCTCAGTGTCATATAAACAGAAAAAAACAGAAGTGGAGCTGTGGCTCAAGTGGTAGAGTGCTAGCCTTGAGC